TATACATATATATATATATATATATATATATATATATGTATAGGTGTGTATATAATAATTTATTCAAATTACGTTTCTATTTCAATAATCGGCGATATGATATTTATTTCAATACACACCTGACTTTTGCGTTCCAATAATAAACTAATATTACATAATAGTATAAATTCACTTTATCAAATTATTATCACAAACTGACTAAAGGCAAAAGCATTTATAATTAATTACATTAATACAATTTTTTGTGTATGCTTTTGATTATATTAGTAATTTTTGTGAAAATTTGCTATATATATTTTTATAAATACTTTCCAAAAAAATCACCCATACCATTATTTGATAGAAAAATTCATCGATATTCTCTGTTATGTTCATATTATGTATATTGTTTTATAAAATAAACTATTATTTAACAAAATATAAAATATATATTTTATCAGCATTTCCTATTTAACTAGTAAATATGAAAATCATAAAATTCATTATTAAACTGGTTTCGTTCAACATTTTTAGTTTTGGATTACATGATTCAGCATATTTCTTTTAAATGAATACATCTTTTAATTTTTTTAACTTCTCATAGAGTAAGTGGTAGTAATCGCAAAAAATCGAAAAGGAATATGTTTATATATCTTTACGCTTCAAAAGTTTCTGAATATTTTGACATACCTTGAAAAAAATGGATGTGTGTGTATGTGTGTGTGCGTGCGGATACAAATTTTTGTCGACGATTTCGGGAAAGCCAATCAACCGATTTGAATAATTCAAAAAATATTCGATTCGTATTGGTAAGAAGACGTGCTGAGTAGTTTTTGGCGATGGCAGGTCTAGCCGTTTCGAAGATATGGGGCATAAAGAACCAAAAATGGTAATTCAGTTTTCAAAAAAACGAAGCGTCCGATTTTAATCATTCAAAAAACATTTTACCTGTATTGACAAGATGGAGTACTGATTAAATTTTTGGGAAAGCACGTCCAGCGGTTATGGACTCCCAATAAAAATAAGTTAAAAAAATGTCATTTGGCGGTCAAATATGTTTATTAGGCATATGTACATCAAATTTATCAGATATTTTACAGAGATTTCAATAATGTGTACACATTTTGTGTATTTTTTTGGACGTGACAAGATTTTTAATTACGGTACGGGAAGTACCAGCAATTTGCCTTAGGGCACGATGCCATGTACCCCACTAGTTTATAAATTAATCGATTGTATGACCCAATTGAACATTTATGATATTAAAATTAGAAGCCATTTCAATTCATGGTAAACAAAAGTAAAATGTTTCGAAAATGCATCGAAAATCGTATTTCCACGTGTGGATCACACCAAAAATCGTCAATTTTGTGTGGGTTAAAATTAAAACATAATTATAAATGGGAACATAATTATAGAAAATTGAAACATAATGATTTTAAAAAAAGGCAATGTCAAATTACTGAGTCTATAATAATTGGCGAATGGACTAAAGTACATAATTTTAGTATAAACCAAATAAATCGGTCTAGATAACACATAACATGGGTGAGCACGTGGTCTTCAACGTGTTAATATTGCATAAATTAAAACAATATTTTATTTAATAATAATATAAAATTATATAAAATATAATAATAATAATAATAATAATAATAATTTATTGATAAATCAATTATAGAAAATATATAAACGTACAGCAATTAATCAGACAAGCTTATATCTTCATGTTTAGTTTCATTTTCAGTAAATTGAGCAACATACTATATTGTGCGATATAAATGACTAAATGTTTATCAGTCAGCTATATATATATATATATATATATATATATACATGCATAAATATAATTTGTACCTTAAATATGGATCCACAATAGACGCCATTGATAACTGCAGAAAAGGAGTCCTCATACACTTCACTGGCACTTCAACACTGCGTTCATATAATCGTAACACTTGTCACTTTTATATTATTTCACTGATTTGTTCTTGTCAAATTCAATTAACACAGCATATTAATTATTTTATAAAAACACCAATCTACACACACTTGATTCTTAAATATCTTCTCCTTTGATATGGTATAATTTGTGAATTATAATTAGGCTTATTGCATCCAATTTTGCAAGTGAAACTGAAACTGTTTTGTGTATATTCAATCATAGAAATTCCTTATGTAATATGTATAAAGGCGGGTTTAAGTCTCCAGAGTCAAATTTTATTTTATTTTTATGTAATGGAATATTTCTACCAAAATTAAAAGGAATTGCAATATCCATGACCATCAAATTAGATAGATGCAATTTTTACACTCTTAAACCATAAAAAGACAATGAAATTTACTGAGAAGCGCAAGTCGTCGGATAAAATGAATTGAATCAAAGTAGATACAACCAAGTTCAAAATTGAATTAGGGTAAGTGGCATTTTGTCGTTCTATAAAATTTCCAACTGCTCATTTCGGAAGTATTGTTTTCGCTTTCCACTTGAATTTTTGAAATCGGTTCAGCCGTTTTTTAAAAAAAACGTTGAGCATATACAAATTACAAAATATATTTTCTGAAATATATGGCTCATTCATTTTACTCAAAGGCAGGTCCACCTCCACCTCGAGACTCAACATTCTGTGTAACGTAGAATCTTAGATTTGACAGAAGAATAAAGTTTGTGATGAAACTTTAAATATTGTGTTGTAAATTTTGCCTTGCAGCGGAGTTTCTTCGAGAGATAAGAACACTATTAGTCCTTTAGCCTTTTTAACAGTACTTATCTTAATTCACAGTTTTAATAAATGGAGAATTATATGAATATGAGGACGTTGAAATAATATGATCTCTTTGTTGTTAATTAAACAGTACTGATATGGCCGATGCTGCTTTGAAGAATGAATTTTGCAATGTGCGATTTCCTGGAGAATAGTCGTTCATCTTCGAATATCTCCGATACTCTTCGTCTATCCTAGTGGCGTTCTTAAGAATCGGAAGGATGTTGGGGTGGTGCATCGGGCATAACAATTGCTTGTTATTCTTGCAATGGTTGCAATACTTTCCAACAACCATCTAGATTTGTTATTGGGATTCCTAATTATTACATTGTCACAAAAATAGATTTATATTTTTTTCATTGTAATTTGAATTTGTGGCAATGAATTTATCAATAAGAAATTTAAAATTATCATTATCAATAGGAAATTTAGAATTAGCATTTTAAGAATCCTCGTTTTTATAATATAACACCTACATTCTATTTTTAACTTCTCGTAGGATAAGTTACAATATATAGTAATCGCAAAAAAATCGAAAATGGAAATTTTTACCTATATATATTTATGTTTCAAAGGTTTCTGAACATTGTGGAATACCTTAGAAAAAATGGATGAATGTGTGTGTGTGTGCGTGTGTGTATGTGAGTGCAGATACAAATTTTCGTCGACGATTTTGAGAACACGGATCAACCGATTTGAATAATTTAAAAAACATTCGATTCGTATTGATAAGGAGACGTTTTTGTCAAAGGCAGATCTAGCCGTTACAAAGATACGGAGCAAAAAGTGCCAAAAACGGCAACTCAGTTTTTAAGACAATGGTGCGTCCGATATTGATAATTCAAAAAACATTTTACTTGTATTGACAAGATGAAAAACTGATCAAATTTTTGGGAAAGCAGGTCTAGCGGTTTCGGAGATCTAGTAAAGAAAGTAAAAAAATGCCATTTGGCGATCAAAAATGATCATTAGACATATGTACATCAAATTATCAGATAATTTATGGAGATTTTTATAATATGTATCAATTTTGTTTACATTTCTTTAGGTTCCGTAACATCGTTTGCCTATTAGACAGCGACGCGGCGCTTACGCGCTTTGATATTTCGTCTCTATGCAGCTAAAGCAATACGATTGCTTTGAAAAAAAGTTCAAAATACTTACAACTAAATAAACACTTAATTTTCAAACGTTCCAAAAAAGTCAATTTTATCAAAGTTTAAAAAAAAATCTTTTTTAACAATTTTAAGCAATTTGCCTTAAGGTACGATGCCATACACCATTAGTTATTCTTGTAATGGTTGCAATACGTTCCTCAATCATCTAGATTTATCCTTGAGATTCCCGCTATTTCATTAGCACAAAAATAAATTTACATTTCTTCATTGTAATTTGAATTTATGACAATGAATTTATCAATAGGAAATTTAGAATCATAATTATCAATAGAAAATTTAGAATTAGTATTAAGAATATCCGTTTTTATAATATAACACCCAGATTCTATTTTCTTTTATTAGAGAAATATTATCTTCTTTAGCATTTAGAAGAGACGACATAAAATTGAGTTTTTTTTAAACATGCACAATATAAATAAAAAAATTGTACAATTTTTACTTTGACTGTAAAAGTGTTTTTCTTCCATAATGCTATAGATGTACAAAGTCGAATCAATTCATCATTCAAATCAAGCTCTAAACAACTAAATACTGTTTCATATGCTCAAATTTAAGGACACTTTTTGTGTCCTGGCTTATATTTGTGTATATATAAGCATGATTTGAGTTGATCTGTTTTCTGTTTCAAATCATTCAAATCAGGAATTAAATTCATTTCAAATAGGATAGATTCATTTTCAAATAGGATTTCAAACAAAATTCTTAATCTAAATATGACAGTTCTTTGCAAGATTATTCCCCTATCTCTGTTTATACATAATTGAAAAAAATAAAAGATAAATAAATAAGTTAAGTATCAGATAATTTATTATATACAAGATAAAACGCACATTTTTTTGCACAAGTCAGGTATTTAATTAATTAGAAAACCTTGGTAAAATATCTACAATTATTAATTATACATATTTTTTTTAGTTTGAAGTCCATATATTATCATAATAGTTTTATTACCACATGTTTGGCAAATATACAATAAAAAATTATCTAACTTTATTTACAAAATGGTACGATAGTACCAAAGATTAGCAACAAAACACTACTTAAATGAATTTTATTCATATACAGAGATATTGGTCTGGGTAAAATTAATCTGCACAAGTAACATGTGCATCTCAAACTAAGTGTTAATACTTAATGAAACTAAAAAAAAAAACAGAAATATATAAATTAGAAAATAATGATACTTATCACTCAAAAACTCATACTTTTATATTTTTTTCCATTTCAGATTTATCAAAAAACATACACTTATTACTCCACTTCCTTGCACAACATTTGTATCACATAATTTATATACAAAAAAATATACACGACGGCACATCTTCATTGTAAGGTTCTTGAACACCATTCTAATTAATTGTTCAGACTGCACTTCTGTCGAACTAGTTTTGTTCACCCACAAGTACTTTCAGTTTAGTCAGTCACATAATCAAATTCATATTTTAGGCACTATCATTGGTTTTCAACATTACTTTTCCTGCTGCTTGTTGTTGATTCAACATAGCTTCTTGCATATCACGTAATTGTCTTCGGCGCTTTTTACTCCATAGCTCATGGCAGTCTTGTCCTTTCGGTAGATCAGGAGCCGGCATTCTGGAATAAGAAATTGTTTGATGATGTTTATTAATTCCTCTAAACAGTGTTAATTTTTTTTATTCAATTTAAAGATTTTTTTTAAAACACATAGTTCAATTTCATCAAATAAAATAACAGAACTGAATAAATTTTGAAACTGAAAGTAAAATACATACACAGTAGTACCCCTACTTACAAATGACATGATATACAAATGTTTGGGGATACGATCCACCAAAGCAGCGATTTGTTGCTTTGACATACAATCAAAAATCAAGATCTGAGCTTTAAGCGAGAAAGTTAATGAAAAACTCTAGAAAAACGTTAATGACAAAATAAAAATATGAAAAATTTCATCAGTTGTAATGATGATTTTCCTCCCATAGAAATATTTTGGCTGTTTTATGAAACTCAACTTACATTAAAAGTGATTGTACAGTTATATGTTGATTTTGCGCTTTTTTGCTTTTTGTACATTCAGAAAATGTTGTTTACTTTTATACCATGGGTCCAAATAAAAAGAGCCATGTCTCTTGACTGAAAGCATGACATTATTGAAAAATATGAGGATGAGAAGAATGTACGAGCATAACACATCATAGATATGTACCGTGTTTAAACAGAAGGGGTAGATAAAGGGTATAACTCCAACCTTACAATAAATAAAAATCACTTCAAAAAAGTTGCAACAGTTCTAACATGAAAGTTATCAGAGTACGACTCTATTTATAATAATTAACAATTTCTACAACAGTTAATTCATTCTATGCTTACTTCTCTGGCTGCACATGCTTCAACCAGGCTGACTTCAAAGCATCTTCAGCAGTAATCCTCTTATCAGGATCCAATTCTAACATTTTATCTAAAAGATCTATAGCTGAAGAAGGCATGAAAACAAATTCTTCTCTCAGTCTCCTCCGATGAATCTTTTTAGGCTTGAGGGAGTGGAATAAGGGCAGGTTAATCACAGATGGCCATACCGCCGGAGACGGAGTACCACAAATGCGAGATATTATTTCCAATTGAATTATTTCTGTATTTGCCTGTAAAAGATAAGAGATGTACAGAATAAAATTTTTAATAATCAAATATTATTAAAATTATTAAACAAAGTGTAAGTGTACCTTTATAAATAATTGGCTTAAGAATTGAGATTAAGCAAGGACAATTGAAGGAAAATTCTTATAAATAAATGAGTTTATTTAAAATCGTCAACAAATTATTTTTTAACAATTAATTTCAAAAGAATCTTTAACTGCATCTTTAATAAAAACTAATTGGAACAACTCCTAACTGATTTTGAAGTCGTTGAATTATTAAAATTAGTTTACAACTTTTGACTAACAGTTGAACAATTTTGTGCTCATCTGCTAACTCTAAAGCGGCTATAAGAAATGGCTTTTATATTGTTGAAATTGGTGAAATCTATATTTGAAAAAACATTGACAAAAAGTCAAATTCTTATATATATTATATTCTCATATATATATATATATATATATATATATATATATATATACACATATATATACACACTCATATATATTATATATATATATATATATATATATATATATATACTATTTTGCTATCAAGAGATGAAAAATGTCTCGGGAATCGCACTTCCTAGTAAAATCATAAATTGTATCTTCAGGTTAACTAAGTAAAAACGATTTTGAACGGTTCAGAATTTTTCAGATAAAATTTTGATGAAAAATTTGTCCCTTATTTACTGATAAACTACTGATAGAAACAGCTCGGCCCATCGTCGCAAAATATTTATCATATTATCCTTAACAAGATTTATTGAATGCCTTTTAAATTTTTAAATACCGCTATTGACCATTTTTCTGGCGCATATACGCACACAGATTTAAAATTTCTAATAATAAACGATTCAGAATGACTTGCAACTTCCAGAAAAAAAGATTAACAAATAAGATTTTCTTGCAAAAATCATTCACTTACATTCAAATCATTTTAATAATCTCACTTGTGGATAAAAAATTATGAGCACATTGGTGAATATGAAAATAATTAAATAATTGGTGTACTTACTTGAAATAATGGCTTTTTCAAAAATAATTCACCTAATATACAACCACAACTCCAAACATCAATTGCTGGTCCATATCGTTCTTCTCCTAGAAGTAATTCTGGTGGTCGATACCATAATGTAATAACCTAAAAAATAGATTATTCGGTAATACATATAAACAATAATTAATTACAGTATTATATATATATGCAAACCTTATTAGTATACGGCCTTTGTCTATCTTCAGCATTATACAGTCTAGCTAAACCAAAATCAGCCAATTTCACTTCCCCTCTGAACATAATTTTTTCATGAGCAAAAACAAATACATAAATATAAAATGATAAAAGTCACTACCCACCTATTATTCATTAATATATTACTACATTTTATATCACGATGTAAAAAATTTCTTTTATGACAATAATTTAATCCATCTAGAAGCTGTTTCATAATGCTTGCATTATTATATTCATTGAAATCTACCATTCCTGATTCTAAAAGTCCCATTAAATCATGATCCATATATTCAAAAACTAAATAAAATGATCCTTTGTCCTAAAAATGCAAATATAATAGTTTATTATTCAAATTATAAATTTTGTGTTAAGTTATAGGGCTTACTTTTCTGAAATCTGTAGCATCCTGTTTATCTGTTACAATTTCTCGTAAATTAACAATATTTCTATGATTCAGCTGCCGTAATATCTTGATTTCACGAACTGCTGTTATGGGAAAGCCTTCTTTTTCATGTTCTAAACGAACCTTTTTTAATGCGACTAGTTCATCAGTTCTATTGTCTTTTGCTTTGTAAACCTAAAAAAAAATACATAAAGTGAAAATATTTAAATACATAAATACATAAATTTATGTAATAAGACATGTGTTAGAAATAAATCTATAGTAAGTTACTGATGTAATCCTTGGTATTATTTAAACATGCAAGACTATTGTAAAGAAGCAATTTATCTTATTTATTCAAATTATAGGATACTTACTTGTCCATAAGTGCCCTCACCAATTTGTTCAATCATTTGGAATACCTCAACACACCTTTCACCCCAATCTCTGCCTGATAATTGACCTTGTCCTAAAACAGCATTAGGACTTGACAAGATCACACGTGATGTTCTTCTCCGTAATATTTTAGGTCTCTTATGCTTCATCTAAAATTAAAAAAAAGGGAGAATAAACCTTATATGTAATTCAGCTTAAAAAAATGTTATATACAAAAATATGATGAGAATATGGAATTCATATAAAGCTTAGAAAAACAATTTTACTATTTTCAATAATAAAATTGTTGATATTTTAATAGTAGTTGTAAGTGGCATTTTGTCTAAAGGCAAATTGCATCAATTTCATGACATGTGTAAATAATCGGATTAAATCAATAAGTATTCAATATCTTAATTCATAATTTATTTAGAATTGCTGTACAGCGTCACAATAAGAGAAACTATTGCAGATTACTCAATTTTGCGCCATATTTTTATAACACATTCTCAAAAAGCAATCATGTGTCTGATACATACAGGGAGTATTTTCTAAAAACGCGGCTGATTAATTCAAATTATAAATATTTTTTAGAAATGAACCACTGTTTGTAGGACAATAATTTTTTATTATGTTCATTAAATTCCGAAACTTAAATTCTTTAAGATCGTTGAAAAAAAAATCGATTACAAAAAAACGGCCTAGCCAATCTTTGTCAAAATGCGATTTTCAAATGACTTTTGAATAGTTTTTGAATTTTCAAAATCAGTTCATGATTTTTGGCTAAAACGTGAACGAATTCTTTTGCACTTCTTTACTTATTCTAAGAAAATGGCTCAGCGGATCGTATAAAAAAAAACTAACCAAAGCTAATCTTCATCAAGTTGCATCAAACGGATTTTAAAATTTTGAAATCAGTTACATACAATACAACACACACATACATACTTTTTCTAGTAAACATAAACTCTTCTTTGAGAAGTTAATAAATTAGTCACAAAAATGAAAAAATAAGTAGTAATCGTAATAAATCATACACAAAGTTTGTTTTCAATGTGCTGTAAAAAGCAGATGTATCTCAAAAAAAAATCTCACCATAGTTCCACCTCTAGGAGACGGGCCTAAACCTGCAGCCCTTTGAACAGAATTCATAGAATGAACACCATGACCTTTAGATCCAGAACTGCCAAATGTTGGAGGTGTGCCTCCAGTGGTATCGTCGTCTTCGCCACTTAAGTCTTCTGTGCCAGGAACCATTGGAGGCATTGGTAAATTCATAATACCTAATTGAAAAATATTTGTAAATATATATGTACATACGCACATCAAATTTTAAAAGCATTAACATTATTCCTATTTATTAACTTCCCGAAGGAGAAGTTTATGTTTTCATCAAAAAATCTGATTTGCTAATTTTATGTTTTCTCGACGTTTCAAGCCATTCTGAAACGAATGAGACCAAATTTGGAGAAATTGTGTGTGTGTGAACAGATTTTTTGCCGTAAATCGACCTTTGCTCAAAAACGCCTAGACCGATTTCAAAAATTTAAAAGCCATTTGATGTATCTCGATGAGGAAAATGTGTTAAACATTTCGTCCATATTTAACCTCGAACTACCGAACCGATTTTTAAAAATCAAAAACTGTTCGAAAGATATTAGTTGGGAAGGATACTCCATAGTTTCAGGTAAAAATCTACCGAGCCGTTTTCTTGTAATTAACTGTTGAAAAAAAAATTGGATCCGATTTTTATGGAACTTTTTTTGCCGATATATATCATGGTCTTATAGAACTTACTGAAATATTACTCCCTTACGACAAGTAATTTAATTTAAAAAATTCAAAGTTTCCGAAAATGAGTAGTATTTTTGACCTTTGATAAAAGAAAAATTAGCCGATTTACTTGGTATAACGAGACAGTACTTGGTCTTAATGAACATACTAAACCATTAAAGTCCTACGCAAACTGGTTCAATTATAAAAATTATTGATTTTTACCACCCGAAATACTTTAATACTTTAATACTTTAACTCATAAATTAATTTTCTTTTTTCCTGAAGTCGATTATTTACACATATTGGGAAGTTCATGTATCTTGCTTCAAGACAAAATACCAATACCAACTAGTTAAATGTTAAGATTGAAAGTTCAAATTACGAGGTTTATCACACTTTATTTCTTATGTTTCATGTTCTAAAAATGTATTTGTAATGTAACTGTAATCACTAGCTATCTTCGAGACACCAAAGAACGTACATATGTTTCGACACAGATTCTGATTAGAATCTTTTGAATGCGCGACGAAATTCTAAGCTGTGATGAATGTTAATAATTCAACCGCTTATCGTAGGCTTGTAATATATTAGTATGCCATTTGATCGAAATGGTTAAAAAAAATTTAGATTTAATTTCGAAAAAACGGCCTGGCCGATCTTTACTAAAAACTAATCAACGCGGTTCCCAACCAATATCCTTCAAACAATTTGAATTTTTAAAATCGATTCAAAATTGTGTGCTAAAATGTGGACAAAAATTTGCTCACATACACATACACATATTTGGTCTCATTCGATTCAGAATGATTTGCGACGTCGAGAAAATATAAAATTAGCATTCGATTTTCTTCGCGAAAACACTTCTTCAGAATGTTAATAATACAGCAATAATAAAATTCTTACCTTTCTTAACAGGTGCAGGTGCAGGTTTCGTAGGAGTTTTGTTGATTACTTTAGGTTGAGCTTGAGGTTGTGGTTGTGTTTGTGGTTGGGACTTAGGTGGGCTAGGAGTACGACTAGGAGGAGAGGCCATATTTTCTAATTCTGCTGATGTCAGACCCGGAGGCATTGGCAACTTTGTTAGATTTTTGGGTTGATTATTAGCAACTGCTGGTACTGTATTAGAATTGTTCACCTGTTGTAAGAAAAAAAGATAATAGATTAAATCAGATACATTTCAATTGAATCATGAACCTAATATTCTGAATATTTTTATATGTTTCATCAAATTACCATAAATAAAAAAAACTGTATTACCTTATTTACTGCTGGCTGCAAATTTGCAATAACCTTCCCAGGTGTAGGTGGAGTTTGAACAAGAGTATTTGTGACCGGTGTCAAACTCTTAGGAGTTGTATTTTTAACAACATTGTTGACTATGGAATTTTCCACAACTGGCTCATCAGGAACAGTGGTACTGTCATTAACAGGCTCCGTATTTTCTATATTAATTTGAATATTCGCAATATCATCTGTTTTATTATTTGAATTTGAATTATCTACTTCATCCATGTTTGGTTTCATTTCTTCTATATTAGTAGGCATTGGTATGTCGTCAATGTTCATAGGCATTGAATTTGAATCATCCATTGTTAAAATTTCACCATTTTCTTTGGCCGGTGTACCTTGAGTAACGGAGTTAGTTTCTGAATTAACTTTATCTTCAGTTGTATTTGTAGAATCTTCAGTGGCAGGTTGTGATTCTTCTTTATTTTCAATTAACTGTTTCCATGCCTAAAGCATTTATTGAAAAAAAAATTATATACAAAGTAAAAAAAAAGAAGGTAAATATAGGAATAGGACAAACCTTAGCTCGTTTGTATCTGTCTTTCACTAATTCTGCAAATAAACTAGTATCACTGATTTTGGCTTTGTCTATCCTTCTAGCAATAGCAATTGGCGATATTTCTGGAGGACTTTTTGGTGATTTTGATCTCGATTTTATCGTTTTTCCTCTTGACCTTGATCGTGATTTCCGTAGCCTAGTGGATGAACTTGGTTTTTGTAATATTGGAGATTGTGGACTAAATGATCTCCTGGACACACGCCTAGTTCTGAAATATTTAAAAAAAATTCATTGATATTACAATATACTTTTGCTATATATATAATATTCTCTTCATTCTTTGAACTATTATTATTTTATATTTATTATATTTATATAATCAGGCATAACATAACGATCCCTTAGCAATCAATCACTGTAAAGTTAAATTAAATTTTATAACTAAAATGTATGTATAATTAAATTTGAGAAATTACAAAAAGTGGTAAGTACTTACAATTTACATATCTTAGTGTTAAAAACAGAAAAAACAATACTCCATGGTATGAGTTTATGGTAATGCACTAAATTATATATTATAAACATTAAACTGCTTATATTTAAATACAATATGTTTAAATTATTATTTATATTTATATTTATTACCAGCTCAGTGCATTACCATAAATTCATACAATGCATTATTTTCACTCTTTTTAATTTTTCGAACTCTTTGAATGAAGACTAAGACTATAGCCGTAACATATTGATTTTAGAAGAAATTTTGAAAGAAATTCATGTGTTTTACTGATGTTATGCCTAAGTATTAGACTCTGTTAATACAAATATAAACATCAAATTCAAAAGTATACATGTATACATACAAACACACCTCATATCATTAAAATTATTTAAACATTTGCCAAAATCTGGACTAGTGACTTATAGTTCTATTAACAGATGTTTCACAATTTATAAAATATGAAAAAAATTAATCAATATAACTATGTATATGTATAACTTATGATATTTTTAAAACATTAGTACTGGAATTAATAGCACACAAAATATTTGGAAAATTTAACTCAAGCTGCAAGTTCTCTATGACAAATCCATGAAGATAAATTTGAAATGGATGCAATTTCTTGAAAATATCTTCATTAGCTTCTATAGTTACATACATTCTAATAAATTAAATCATGTAACAATTTGTTGAATAAAGTAGAAAATTATAAAGACCTGCCAAAACTAATGAAGAATTTTTAATATAGAAAAATAATTCATCTGGTTTGAGTTGAATTTATAGCTAATCACCTTGATCTTGAATGTATTTTATGTCTGCTTGGACTTCTTGATTTTGATCTAGATCTGACAATTATTCTACTGCTTCTTTCTCTCCTGGTGTCCCTTTCTCTGGCAATTACCACCATATTACTAGAAACATGCCGAGAACCAGCTGATCGAGATTCATGTCGCACGATACGATCTCGACTGGAGTGTCGATTTGACTCTTTTCTTCTCTTCGATGGAGGTGGTGATAAATCAAGATCTTCATTAACAGATCTGTGGTGACGGTGTGATGAACTATGGCGATGATGACACGAATCTTGATGAAAAGAATCTAAAAAATACAAATGAAATAAATTATTATATAATTATTGAATAATATTGTGATTTAAAAAAAACAGTTATGAAAAATTACATCTAAAACGGAATTAGAAAATTAGCATAAGAGCGATTAATTGAAACATACAATAACTTTTAATTATTTCTTGTTTCTTTATTAAAAAAAACTCTCTGGGCAATCTATACTGAAACTTAACGAGTGTAATAAACAACTAATCCTTTATATGGCTTTTCAGATGTGAAAATTGATTCAGAATTTTGTGCAAAAACAAATGTTTTTTTCTATTCAACTATTAATTACAATGATTAGGCTAAATGTACCATTAAATAATTGCCTACCCATCAATTTGTAAATTATAAATAACATGTAAATTTGTACCTGGACTCCTATGTTTGGAGATACTTCTACTATGCGGGTAAACCAAGTCTAAACTAGATTCATCATCTACCTCAATGGTGAAGATTTTAGTATTTCTAGTTGCTATGGGAGGTGTATGTGGTGACATGTCTGATCGTCTGAAATACATAATGCTTTAATAATACAGTATTATGCAATGAATGACTTTCACATATAGGACTGATGAAGGATTTTAGGAAATTTGAAGTATAACACCTTCTTTTCTTCTGGGATTTCAGAGGAAAACATTTGGATCTGTGGCGGAATGATTTGGATTTGGTTTTCGAATAATAGCTGCTTCTAGATTTTCTGTAAAATTATAACAAGAAAATATTAGTATAGTTAGAAATATTAATGTAATTTCTTAAATAATATGGAACAAAAAAAATTATGTTTGTAATTATAAGTACCATTTAAATGGCCATAGATAATTCTATTTTATTACAATTTACAATTTCAATGTTATGTAATTCATAATTTGTTTGAATTAAATATTAGAAATAAAAAACTTTTATAAATCTTAAAACAAAACTAAAGAAATTTGAACCCTGATGGTAATGTACAAGTTACTATGGTAACTATTCATTCATTAATAATCTATAGTTATACTTTCGATTGATCAAACAATTCCAGAATGCTAAAATCCATGTACACAAAAAAACTACTGATACAATGTTATTGGTCACTTACATGATAAAAAATTAGTCAAACGAAAAATATTGATGTAGATAAAAAGAAATTACCTTGCAGAAGATCGAGATGGCGGAGTTTTTCTAGAAGGTGAATATGAATCATTTTCAATTAATTGTTCATCTGGACTAATGATGGATGCAGGTGAAATATCTTTTGCAGACCTAGCAGCTGCTGCAACAGGTGTTTCCCAATCACTTAAAGCCACTTCACATTTTGGAGTTCTATAATAAGAAAATTATTATAAATTCAACTAGTTATTATACTTTAAGTTTAAAAGAAATAAACAAATTCTCGGTGTAAACTTATTTTAATTTAATTGATTTTCTCTCTTAGCTCTCATATCTCTTAATTACCTCTCATAGCTTTCAATTTCTGATAATTCACTATTGCTTCCTTTTGATCTATCTTTCTTTTTCTTCTTTTTCCCCTTTTTGTCTCTTTTATGTTTTTTTTCTTTCTTCTTCCTGTGCTTTCTATCCTCTTCATCTTCATATACAAGTGGAGAAGGTGGTGTTAGTCGCATATGTTTTCTTGAAATTGAAATTTCTTGAGGTACTATAGGTGAATATATTCTGGCATGTGATGACACAGATGTCGGTGAGTGTTTTCTAATATGAGGTTTTATTGAAGGAATATCAATATACTCCGGTATGACTCTGGATCTTTCAGCAATCCCAGAATGCCTAGAATATGATTGTTCACTAAATGGACTTTCTTCAGACTGAATTTCGCCAGCTTCTGGTGCTGATAAATCCTCACTGCTCACATCTGAATATTCAACTATTGGTCTCAGGGATGCTATCTAAAAACATAATTATTTGTTCAATAATTAAGCTTATTATGTATGAAATGGAAACAAAATAGCCAGAGCTCAATCCAAATATGAGATAATGATTTGTGTTAAAGACAACTTGTTTTTTGAAAGTTTAGTGAATTTCAATTTCAGGCTTCTTTTCAATTTACATAAACATATTTTAGTTCGAACAACAATGTTAAGAAGACTTATCTCATGGCAAACAGACCAAAAATGCAAAATTATAAAAAAATCTTAATTTTAGCATTTACCTGTGGGGTATTGTCTTTAGACCTCTTCTTCTTTTTAGTTTTCTTGCCTGTTTTATTTCTACCATGACGTTTAGTGTGTTTACTTGTTCTATCCCTATCCATTATATGTGAATCACTATTATAGTGATATTGCATGTATTTACTATCATCCAGTATCGTAATTATCTAAAAAGAATATCAGTAATATAATACCCAAACAAAATAATACTCATAATAATTTACCTGGCATTATATCAGATTGCATAAGATTAATAAAATATTTAAAACTTTGTTAACACATTTAAATATTTTTATAAAGGACTTCCATACTTCAATACTATATTATTAAACACTTATAAGAAATCAAAATGATATAATTATAAAATATCTATTTCCCAAATATTTACATAAAGACGACAGTAATATAAAATGGAAAATTATAAAGATAAAATTACATATAATATTAATACAAAATACTATTTCTAGTATTTGTCATTAAACCTTCGAATAAAACTAAGGTTAAGATTGGCGACATATAACCTACAATAAATTTCATGCAATTTGTTAAGCAATAGGTAAATTTATTTTAATAAAAAAAAGAAGATTAAAAGTTTTAGAAAGCAAATATACTAGTAATAAAAAGAATAGCATATTCTTGACTAATCTTATCTGAAGGTGAATTTTACGGTAGCCATTAGTACGGGTGGAACTGCATCGCATAGCAAAATTATTTAAAGCTATATGCATTGTAAATTTTAACATCAAATTGTAGTGAAATAAAATATATGAGGTAAGGACTCACCTGGAATCACGGCGTGAGCCGTATCCATTTATTTGTCACTTCACATTTTGTTACACATAGTTAAATGATATATCTCGATATGTGACATTTTAATTATCGGTTTATAGCTATATGAAGGTCTCTTAGTACTAAATTATTTATAAATTATATGGAGTTTGATATCATAAATCTTAAAAAAATATTCATTCAATTCGATGGAGCATGGATCATAATAATTTCTTTAGATTTAAGTGCAATAAATTGTAAGGGAATTCAATAGCCGTCTGCTATCGGCCATTGTTATACAGCAACGTCATCACCGTATGCTAAAAAAGATAAATTTAAATGGACAATTATGGTAGTATTTTATTATTAATGCGTAAAATAATGAAATTAAATAGCATATGTGCAAATAAGTTATTAGATTAAAATTAAATAATGCCAGGCGATGAAAAAAAGTTTTAATCATAATTCAGTTCGTTTAGTTGGTAGTATGGGTACAATGTAGAATAGTGGTGGGATATTTAAATTATTCTCTGATTTATGTTTAATGAATTTATTTTGACGTATGTTGAAATAAAACATGATACATAACAATATGGAAATATAGAGATTCATATATTTATTAACAATAAAACCTGAACTTGAAATAAATCTAATATATTAAAAAATTTCAGCATATACAAACACTTTTAAAAAATATTCTACTAACAAACAGTTTTCAATAACAATTTCAATTTAATATTATATATACAAATTTTGATAGAATATATTAAAAAGTACAGTATAATATGCTAAACTATGAAATATTCTTATTTTGTATAATAATTTAAGCAGAATATTTATAAATGCAATAAAAAGCAATGAAACTTGAATTATCAATTATAATTTTCAAATATAAATTTAACTGAAATCCCAATGACTGTAAATTAGTTTTGTACTATAAAGATCTTTTTTTCAATTTTCATTCAGCAAGTACATACATACATACATCGTTCATACACTCTTATAAATTTACATATTTCAAATTGAATTATAAAAACAAGTAATGTAATTTCAAGAATAAAATTTAAGAGATAAAATCAAATTTTATATTTATAAAAAAAAAAACTTTTAATTTTTTGATGTATATGAATTTAGTTTTCAAAATCTTGATTTTATAGCTTGCTGAGCTATATAATATAAAAAATAGAATATTTAGTAATTAATGTAAAATAATGTCTTTTCATTACTTCTGATGTGGATGACCCGCTCATCATATTATCCCTTCCTGAAAAATAACACCACACTTCTGGAAACATATTTATATAAACACATAGGACTATAAAAACAACATAAGTTAACGTAAATATAAACTTAAATATGTCTTATTTCTATAAGTCAATTATTAAACAAAATTCTAAAATATATAATATTAAAATTCTAATTCTTCAAGAGTTTTTGATAACCTATTATCTATTTTTCTCCTTTGACTTCTTCTAACAGCATCGGCACGTCGATAAGGCTCACTTTTTAAACCTAATAAAATATCTTCTAAGGCACCATTGTACACCTCATCCTGCTGCAAAAGTTTCTTTTCTCTCACTTGATTCGTCTTATGTTTTAGTTCATTGATCACAGCATCCTGGAAAGCATCAATCTTGATTTCTTAATACAGAAAATAAAATATAGAAAATATATAAAAACTCAATTATGTTCAAAATGAAAAATCAACTGCTAAATTTGAGGTAAACCTTTAAATGTTTATAAATACTATAAATGTTCATTTAAAAATTGTACAGTCATATTTTAATAGCATTCAATAATTGTAAATTTTATTGAAAAATCATCTGGTAGAAATCATTTCTATTTATCACTCGAAGGAGAAAAAAATATTTTTCAATTGTTTACTTTTAATTTAAAAAAAAAAATTAAAACCTGTTGCTTTTTCTGATTAATTTTGTTTTTCTTGATTACTTCTTCATTTGGTTTATTTAAAGCTTCTAAAGCCGCTAATTCTAGTCTTCTTCGCTGCTCATTATCTTGATCAGCAGTCTGTAATATAATGTAAATATTACCTATATATATAATTAATTTTTAAATTTGTAAGATTTTGTCAAAGGTTCTAATTATATTTATATTATAGTTCTGAATTTATATAAATATTTAAGATTTTACTGCTATATTTTTTACGTTTCGTAAGCATCATCACTTTAATTACAATATTTCCAAAATATCATTTATAATTAAAAATGTGAGCTATACAGCAAAGCTTTTATTTCCCAAAATAATTGTAATAAAGAATACTGACTGAAAACTTACCTTGAAAGCTTTGATAAATCTTACTATTAAATTAAAGAATGTGTTTGCATCTACAGTTCTATGACTTTCACCAAAATATTCAACACATTCTTTGAAACTCTCTTGTGCAGTTTTTGCTTCAGCTTTAAGTTTTCTTAATTTATCCTCAGAATTTTGTAAGAAATCTTTGAGTATGATGTTCGGACCTGCCGAATTTTTAGATCTTTGTTCTGCTTCTTTACGAATAAGTTCCATACCCTTTTCTAAATTTTCCATATCTGCATTTATGTTCTCCAAAGATACTATAAACAAAAAGTATGAAAATCAAATATCAATAATATGATTGTCCTTATTTATTATTGCATAAAATTATATATTTATAATTTTTTTTTACAACTTTTTTATTACCTTGAGCAGCTTTATCTATATATAAAAGTTCAGTTTCAAAGTTCAATAATTCTGGAAACTTTTGTCTTATTGTTGAAGTTATATAATGTAGCAAACAAATTCGTTTGTCGGCACTTTTTGTATCAAGCAAAGTATCTAAGGATTGTAATTTAAATCCATATGCTGGTCCACGTTTGCTACTATTCAAATAATTTCCAAAAGCTAATATGATTTCAAGAATTTTTCGTAATTTTTGCGAACTCTTCACGGAGGCAGAACCAGATATCACAGCATGGATTTGCTGCAATTAAAATATAATGTCATGTATGCATTTCATTCATTCATTAAATTGAAGTTATAGCATTCAAAACTTACAGGAGTTACCAAATGTACGTTATCAAAGAAGTTTCCTATATAATTCATGATGTTCAATTTGGCAGTAATTCGTTCAACTTTAGTTAGATTCAATAAGAATTTATCTTCGTCTGTAAGTTGAGAAATATTTTTCTTTTCATTTTGATATTCACGATAAGCTTTTGCTTCTGTTTCTGTTGGGACCATCCTTTGCAGTAATTCCACATTATCCAAAGGCAATTGTTTAAGATCTAATGAATTTATTGCTGCTATTACTTTCTCTACTGGCATTTCTAATTTTCTTCTAGATATAGCTGCAGAATAAAATAAATATTATATTTAAAAAAATAATATAAATTTTTCAAATACAAAGCAATATCTTTTATTTTTAGCTTACCTATATTTCTCAGCCTGGTATGCTCCAGTAAAGAAATGCTTTCAGGTTTCTTAAACCTTTTACTAGGGAATGTAGATAATCCATCTGTATCACTATGGCCATTCAGCAATGTTCCATTCAAGCTAGGGCCAAGTTTAAACCGTTCTTCAAAGTCGGTAAAGTCTATGTAACTGATTATTTTATCATCATCCAGCTCATTGAATATTGTTCCTCGAACCTTTACAAAAATTGTATTTTGGATTATGATTCAAAATCTTACTAACTGTAAAGTTGTATAGATGTAAAATTATGGTATCTGTAGTCAATGAATACATGGTCATTTTGTTAAATATTTCATATAAGATTCATTTATAAAGAATTAATTTTTTGTAATACAAAAGACTGATAAAATTCGAAAATGGCTCTTCAATTTTAAATTAATTTAATATGCATCTAATTTCCATATGTAATTACATTGATGAATATTTTAACCATAAAGTTAACCACGTTTACCAATATTATTTCTAACAAGGTACTCAAACATCCATAAATTTCAAACATTCATATTTTGGACCGATATTATCATTACCTGGTTTGGTTTCAAAGCAATCCAATTGAGCGTCGGAAGCTTGTATTTTGTTTGCACCTTCCTTTTAATTGTCATGGCTCCGTCTGGCGCTGGCATCATCCCTGGTGGTGCTGGTGGCGGAGGGCAGGACGGTGACAATAGACTCGGAGGTGCAGGCGGAGGAGGACAAAACGGTGGGGGAGGAGGAGCAGCGCATACAGGTGGTGGTGGCGGCGGTGGCGCTGGAGGTGCTGGAGGAGGAATGGGTATTGCGCTACCACCAGATGTCGAATCTGGTGCTGTGGAGGATGTATCGCCACTTCCTGAAAATAAATTGAAATTTATATAATTTAAATATAAGAATGAACACAAAAATACATCAAAAGTGTGATAACCGTTAATATAAAAATGTCCTACTAACTTTGAAGCAGTCATCAAAGATAACTTAGATTTGTAGTTACAACGTAATTTATTGATTTGAAATCACGATGTTTATAAAACAGTATAGAATAAATTGCCGTAATTTCAAAGATAAGTTAGATACGCAGCTATAAAATAATTCATTGGTTTGAAATCGTGATATTATAAAACAGTATTAAATAAATGGCCGTAATATACAATGGAAAACGTAGCGTATTAAAATTACCGAAACATTAAAAAAATTAATTCAGGCATTTCTAATCCTTATGCAATTCAATAATTACATAAGGAACAAATAAAAATATAAATTTAGGAACACCAACATATAAAAGTTTTAGTATTATATAAATAATATTCATCAATACTCTCAAATAACAATTTATAACATAATATAAAATAATGACTCTGTTTAATGATTTAACTTATAATAGTGAGAATAAGATCTTTTTCTCACCACGATCCCTCAATTTTCTTTCATTTTCCCTCATTTGTTTAGCGTCCCTCCTTAGAGTGGCCACTTCTTCACCATGCTGCCGCGCTTGCTGTATGGCCTGGTCGCGTTCTTGGCGCAGGGTCTGAATGGCGCGTTCCAGCTCTGCTATTTTACATAGAGATTCATGTTCCAGATCTGACATACGATCGTGACACTGTGGGATTAAAATATTAATCAATTAAATATATCAAAATTATAATACTCGTAAATATTTACACTGATACACTAAATACAATAATGAACTAAATACAATAATACACTAAAAATAATTGCTAAAATAATAAAGCGTAACATAAATAACCTACTGATTTTCTTCTCACTTCTTAATATAAAAAATGCTTTCTATTTGTCAACATGTGTTAATAATATTATAGTATATGGGAAACTGAAACTGAAAGTATATGAAAAAAAATAATTTCGTTCCGTTCTGGTTAATGTTTTACTAATATTAGTTCTAATTAGAAATATGACTAGTGTAATAAAATATTTTGCAAAGTCAAATAGATTTTAATTTAATTTCTCCAACT